TCAGATCAAAGCTGAATAAAACAATAAATAAAATCAGATCTTAAACTTCACAGAGGTATCCATGACAATTTCCTTGATGTTAGTTTTCTTCAATATTCTCTATACTATTCCTATATGCTAAGGTTATTTTATAAATTTTGACCTTGAAATTGGATGCCTCCTATCCTTGAGTTCAAACCCTGCAGAATTATTTTAAAATTTAGTTGGAAAAGTGATCAAATAAATATGTGCTCTATCTAAAAGTGCATCTATATTGGACATAACATAGAAATAAATTTATTATAGACTAGATCATTAGAATATTATTTATTTTGAGCATATTATATTATCCTATATCCACTTACATGCTATACTAATAAAGCAAATACCTGAATACAATTCAATTAAAAACAACATTAACAATGTTATATATTAACAATCAAGACAATCATCAACGCATCAGATAAACATTTATAATAAATAATTATAATTATATTAATTAATGATAATAAAGTGTTATTGTATTGTATATAGTGTTCTAACACCATTCCACAAACAGATCAGTGTGCAATATGACATGCTTACGTTTAGTTTTTTCACCACTTTCTCGCCCAAATTATTCTAAAATGTTTCCAAATTTCTGGAAATGAACCCAAATTTTATAGCAAACAAACCAAATTTCTGTCAATTTTCAGCTTTTACTCAAAAGATTTGGCTAATTTTGCTTCAATTTTCTGAAGGAAAGTGCAGACTACTCTGAGGCTATTTTATGAATTTGTGATGAAAAAGAAAAAAAATTTTGTAAACAAATTATGTCACCAATTTTAAATCAAAGTTAACCCCAATCCCATCTCTCACTAACAACATCAGCGAGGCAAAATGTCTTCCAAATATGAAATAATATAATGTCCAATAAATATATAGAATATGGATACAATGTATGTTAATAGATATCTGAAATTAAAAACCTACTTTGCAAATTCCAGTCTCCCTCCTGCACGACTTCTTTCCATTACCACACCCCATCCACCAACATTGATGGAACCCTGAATTATAACTGCCAGGAAACCTGCTACCATGACAGTAAGTTGGAAAACATCAGTCCACAATACAGCCTTAATACCTCCCTTTGTAAAAAAAAAACACAGTAAAATTAAGTTACACAGACTGTGATGTTATGCACATACACTGGGATGTATGAGTCAGGAGACACATTGCCTATTATTGCGTGATATAACAAAGCTAGGTCAGGGATGTATACAATAATTGATGAGACAGTGTTGAACCCAATATTTCAGCAAACATTCAAGTCTTGTTATTACAAAATATAATGGGCACTGAGGAGTCATTTATAATGCAAGATGTTGAAAAATGTAATAAACATGTAGTGTTAACATGAGAATAAAGAATGCGACAGTGTGGTTAACACATTGTAGATGCTAGTATTTCAGTTACGCCTAGCAGTTCACAAGCGAATTTATGCACATAAGTAAAATTTCCAAATTAATAGTAAGTGTACCAGGATAACACGGCTGCACATGGTACAGATTAACCAATGAAGTAACATGGCTGCACATGATACAAATTGACCAATGAGATAACAGGGCTGCACATAGTACAGATTGACCAATGAGATGACAGGGCTGCACATGATACAAATTGACCAATGAGATAACAGAGCTGCACATGATACAAATTGACCAATGAGATAACAGAGCTGCACATGATACAAATTGACCAATGAGATAACAGAGCTGCACATGATACAAATTGACCAATGCGATAACAGGGCTGCACATGATACAAATTGACCAATGAGATAACAGGGCTGCACATGATACAAATTGACCAATGAGATAACAGAGCTGCACATGATACAAATTGACCAATGAGATAACAGGGCTGCACATGATACAAATTGACCAATGAGATAACAGGGCTGCACATGATACAAATTGACCAATGAGATAACAGAGCTGCACGTGATACAAATTGACCAATGAGATAACAGAGCTGCACATGATACAAATTGACCAATAAGATAACAGAGCTGCACATGATACTAATTGACCAATGAGATAACATGATACAAATTGACCAATGAGATAACAGGGCTGCACATGATACAAATTG